GCAAGATACTGCAACTCAGAGTAAAATAATAAACATCAAATGCTAAGAGCAGTGGGAAGCTATTTAAACCCAGCTGGCAACAAGCTACTGAAGTGAAAACTCAGCTGCCCAAATGGTTATACAATCTACAAAGAAAGAAATGATGCTCTTCTCAGTCAGCTGTTGCAAGCAATTCGGCTGGAAGAGGGCAGAGAACAAGAGCCCACACGCAAAGGGCCACAGGCACACCCTCTGCAGATGTTATAAAAATCTCCATGGACTCGATGCTCATATTAGCGAGACCAACAAACAGCAGAAATGAAAGAGTGTGGCCAAAAGAGAAAAAAAAAATGTTTTAAGCAAGCAAAGGAATATTTGAACTTTCATAAAATTAAGAACATGCAACATCATGTTACCTTTCCCTGTACAATGAAAACAAGAACATTACTCCCGATTTCTCAATAAATTAAGTCCACTAAATATTTCTGAAAGTTGCTGAACAAAGTGAATTTACATCTCATTTGATAAATAATTCACTAACATTTGAATTATGTTCACCCTTCACCCAGAAACTTCACACTGGGAGTCTACCCCAGCCTCAATATTGAAAGATACAAGGAAAAGGATGTCTAACGAGTAACCATACACAGTTGCCAAGAACTGAAACAAAGTGAATACCCATTTAAGGGGTAATGGCTTGAGCCACACCCACACATTAAAAACAATAATTAGAATTATGTCTGAAGATTTATAGCAATTTGTACAAAGAATTGCTGAGTTGATAAAGCTGTATTCATAATATGACCCAGCAATGTTTGTATATGTACACATGTATAGCATAGTGTGAATACAAAAAAAAATGTGGTAATATATATACTAAGTCAGTGTACATATGATCAAAGTTTATTGCACATTAGAATTACCTGAAGGTTGTTAAAACACAGGGATATCACAGAGAGTGTGATACAGCAGGTCTATGGTGAAGTCTGAGAATTTGTATCTCCCACAGGGGTATACTTGGACTGCAGAAAAGGACTTCAGGTATTAAACAGCATTAAGTGGGAAGAGAAGAGGTGTGAAATAGGGAGGGGTTAATGGAATCTGTTGAAGGTAACAGTTTTCTATATGACTCCTTTTATGGAGGGTGTGTGTGTGTAAACAAATTTTTAGAGGACTGTCACCAAAATACTAATAAAAGTTCTTTCAAAGATAATAAGATTACTTGAAATTCCTCTTGGTGGTTGTGCTTGTTCTATTTTAATAATAAGTGTCAGCTAAAATAAAGTTTTCCTTTTCAAAATTCAAATACCTAGTGAGCGAAATCTCTTCTTTAGAATCTGTGCTTGCATCATTTCCTTTCTCTTTTCATACAACTAATACTAAAAGCAGTGAACTGAAATAAACAAATAAAAACAACTTTATGGCTTCCAATCTAGGTCTTCAAGCTCCCAAGAGGTAAGGTAGAAAATAAGCATTTTAAAATAAAAGTAATTCTAATTTATACTTTTTCAGACTTTCTTACTTCTCTTTAGTGCCATCACTTGGAACAATTCAATGAGCCACTATGGCTCATGTTAAGCAAAATAAGTCAGAAATCAAAAAACACAAAGAATATCGAGAACAAAGGGCCAAATATAGCCACGCTCATAACAAACCCTAGAAAGGTGGTAACAAACCCTAGAACTGTGACAGGGGAAAGGAATCCTGCAGGATTATGGGGATGACTGAGGCTGCTTCGGTGGTGGGTGTGGTATAATAACACTTAAAGGGGTGTGCCTCTACCTCTCAAACATCATGATTTAAACCAACATTAATAAAATTTTTAAAATTAGAATGAGTCTGGGGCTGAGTTTAGGAAAATCCTCACATTCCAATGCTAACTCGCCTTCCTAAGGAAAATAGAAATTAGTCAAAAAATTCAATATCACAAGAGAATAAGAGAATCACTTCTGCTCAAGGAGACTCTGGGAAGAAAAAGAAAAATATTTAAGTTCTTACTTTGTTATCATAATATAACGTTAAGAGAAAAAAAGAAGAGACAAACCAAGATTTGAAAATAGTAGAAGTAATAGAATCTGAATCTGTGTGGCAAACAGAAAAGTTTAAAAAAAAAAAAGGGGGGGACACTGAGAAAATTAAGTAGAAAGTAAAGTTAAAAGAAAAAAATTATAAGTATTGATGTTCTATATGATTAAAGACATCTCTGCCACCATTAGGAAGGATTCTCTTTACTGACCCAAAAATAAAGATAAACATTTAACTATAGAAATGTTACAGGAAATCCTAACCTGTTACAATTAAATAACAAAAAATTCACCTATAGGACTGTCCCGGTACCCTATTTCGAAAGGTGGGTGGAAGTTGGGGGAAAATCTCTACCATTTCCCCTATCTTACTTCTCCATTTGTGTGATTTAATTATCCTTGAAATAAGCCATAATTTTTATGTTGAGTCCTGTCAATCAGATTTTCCAGTCAATAAAATACAATTGTACTTCCTATTATTTTATAATTCTGCGAATCATCTCTCTAGTTATGGACTTATCCAAATATCAGCTTTTGTTGAGCTTGTCTCCTAATTATACAATTGCCTGAGTTGTTTTGTTTTTCTAAAAGAACCGGTCATAACAATTGGAATGGACTGTCAGAAATACATAAAAGTATCTAAAGTAAAAGACCCAATGCAATATAGCACTGTCAAGTTACAAAACCTCATTTAAATAAGGGATAAGGGGCTGTCAATAAAATTAAACACAAACAGAAAACTCTGACAGAATATATACCAAAATGTCAGATTAATGTTTTATCATGATGATGGGATTAAACATGAGGCTTTAATTTTTTTCTTTTTGCTTCTCTTTATGTCATTTTTATGACAAATATGTACATGAAACACAATAAACATAAAACAATTGTTAAGGGTTTCTAAATCATATGGTAGTAAGTTAGGAGAAAATAGAAGACAGAGGGTTAGAGAGAGGGCCTGCTTCAAGTTACAGAAACAAGATGTAGTTCAGTTTTTCTGTCTGCTCTACATGTTACTTATTTAAGACTTTTCATTGTAATATATCTTGCTAACCTCTTACTGCATAGATCCAAACGTTCAAATTGGTTTAGATCAGTTTGCCATAACACTGACTAAAATATTAAGTGAATAAAGCAGATTACAACCATACTGACAGTAAAAGTCATCAGTATGTTTAATAAATGTCATGTATGTCAGCTACAATGGGGCAATAATCAAACATATATTACCATTTAGGCTAAGAGAAAAATTCCCAATAATGATAATACTAGAATTTTAATCTATACTTATTAAAAGAGCTCTTCTAAATGCACACAGATTGTATCATGTATTATGCTGATGTTTCCATATCTTCCTATATGCACAGTAACTTTGCCTTTTAATGCCAACTCATGGTGAAATCATCTTGAAAGTCATTCATGCATGTATTAGCAACAAGGAATATAAGTTATCTGAAGTGGCAACATGAGCCATTATGACCGAGGTCACATGACAAGGTACATCACAACATCTGTCAGGATGGACAGTGAATGTCAGAGCACTCAAATCCAGGGAGGTTAGAAAAGAGGGGGAGCTGTTTTAGAATTGTTCAGATATATTATCTATAGGTGATAAGATCATGAGTGAATTATTGACATTTCTGTTTATCTCATTTTATTCTACTTAGTTGGTATCATGTGAGAATTAGGAGGGGGAAACTTTTTGTTTGGTCTCTGTCTCTTCTCTCCTCAAAGGTACTACTTCTTCCTCAGTGTGGTTGTAATCTATTAAGTATGAGTTCAAATTACCTATGCCCAGATGTTGAATGATTATACAGTTCTTTATCATGACTAGGTTTGTAGATTTCTTTCGATGTAGGGGAGCAGGCTAGAAAAAGAGCAAAGGAGAAAAAGGGCTTTAAAATGAAAGGCTTGGGAGTATTTCAAATTTAGCCTCTGAATATTTTTTTTATCCACAATCACACCTAGGCTGAGGCCAATGTCTCCCCCCCTTTTTTTTTTTAACCTGTAAATCTCAACCTAGAGAAAGTACTGTAGTCCACTGGAGAGTCCCTCAGGCAGCATTTGTGTGATTCTGAAATCCACTTGTTTTCTCATCCTATCAATCTCCAGAGACTAGAGGGGGGTAGGGTGGAGAGGGAGAGCACAGAGGTGGTAAAGCACAATAAGGGGAAATGGAGGTAGATGTTTTAATTGACAGAGGATTCAGACTGAATTTGTTCCAATCCATGATATTTCATTCTACTATGTAGAAATTTGAACTGAGGTGATAGCCTTATTCTAGATCTAGTATTTGCACTCCATGAGTTGATGGGTCAAAGGCCATGTAAAACCACAGTTCTCACACACACATTCATCCTCTTCCAGCTCCCAACTAATACAGTCAGGATGCAAGGAAATACATTTTGCCTTAAGTAAAGGAGGGAAGATGAAGGCATCTGCCCTTTTAGATGTAAAGACAATCAACTTACATCCCTGTTATACCCAGTAACTGCTCACATACTAGACCCTCTCTCAACCCAGAAGGCACACTGAACTAGGACTCTCTCTGGGCAGCTGGCAGCCAATCCCTGACTACCTGATCTGCATCTCAGCACCATTCCTTCTGTATTCCTATTTCATGATTTTAGCTCCCTTAATAGCCAGTGAAACTTCCCCCTGCAAAACATATGCATGGAAAATATTCTTGACTATTATCAGTATACTAGCATTAACTATGTCCAAATATCGTCCATTTCAATGAGTATTTCTGAGTCCAAAAATCACACAGTTAAAGAAGAGTCTTTCAGGGAACTAGAATTAAAACCCAGAATTTGGAGCCAGGAGCCAACCAGTTTTCAAAGACTCCATGCAAATACTTGAACTACACAGTAACACTCAGTATTTTGTTTTTCAAAAGCCTGAATAGTGAGCAAATCATTTCTCCGCACTTCAGTCACATGGGCTAAGTCTAAGAAAGGGCCACTTAGACCTGAAGCGCAATGCTTAGGAACTTACGTAAAGAGGTGCTTCACTGCAGCTCAACTCCATGGCTTCCGCATCTGCAACGAAAATAACAAATGAGAGCAAGTATTGCAGGAGGCTCCATGTAACCACACAGAACTGTACCCTGCCCTTCACTATGAATATCATCAAGGGAGGAGTCAGCTATTTAGGTAAGAAAGCTGCAAAAAAAATTATAAAGACATGGGAGGCTATATCTATAAATCATCCTCCACTTTCTTCTTTCACTTAATTTCCACGTGTGAGGTAAACCTAACACCACTGACACTGGCTGCTGCCTTAGTTGGTTATCCCATCGTAGATCACTGAGGTCAGAATCTACTTTTGGCCAGAAGAGGCAGGAAAGTTTTACTGCCCTCAGGCATCAATCACGGAATGCAATGTCCTGCAAACCCTCATCACCACAGGCAGGCATCCCATTGGTCTCTAGGTATGTCTGTCCCCTTAAAACCTGAAGGGAGCTTCTACTTAGAAAAAAGGAGCCAGCACCATTCAGAATGGATTCCTTGACTGAACACCCAGGGAGGCATTCCAGAGAGGTGAGCAGGAAATGTCTTGGCTCTTGGGGAGCTCACAATTGAACAATCTTTAGGGATTGGGAGAAAGTGAAGAATGAGTTGCACAATTCTGACTGGGGCAGACAGAGAGGATCTCTGCACGCACCCTGCTCATGGGAGACAAGGCAGGCCTCTGCACCAGGTGAGACCTTGCTGTGCTGTCCTGACCACACTCCAGCCACAGCACTTGGGGGACTTCCCTTCTGGTTGTCACATCACAACCTCAGTTGATATCCCAGAGGACATAGTTGACAGAGAGGAAAATACTAAAAATTCTCCTTTTAAATTCTCTCATTCTTAATATGAGTTGTTTGACACCTCACACACATGCTGGCAGCAGCTCCTCCTCCCAGCTACATTCCACAAGTCATCTGGAGAGAAAACTGGGTCCCACTAGGCAGAAGGGGGCATTTTCAACCCACCATGCCCCGTGGCATTTCTGTAGACCCACTTAAAAGGACATGTGGATTCCAATCAATTTTTAATGAAACAATCTGAAATTGGAAGAATGGTTGAAGGCATTCAGGAAATTAAACACTAATAACAAAAATGGCAAAAGTAAAACTCATTCTTAATAGGAATTGTTCACTAACCACACCATGAAATACAAATCAATCCCAAGAGCATGGGATTCATGTTCCAAATTCAAAATTAGCAAGAAGGTATTTAAAACACAAATGTGTATCTGCTAGCACATTGCTGACCTTCATAACCATATTCTGGGCCTCAACAGACTACCACACCGTGAACAATCTCAGTCCCTTACAAACTCATTAATTTGGTGACAGAATTGGAAGAACCTTTGAAGATGACTTAACAGCAAAATCAACACATTCTGTAGTATATGCAGACACGGTAGTTTCTAAAAGCTAAAATAACACAAACTATGAAAAAAACTAAATTATAATACTCAAATTTAAGTATATTACAACAGAGTTAGTCATGTCAAAGGTTTGCCATAAACTTATATGAAGTACAGATGTTTTCCATGACAGCTTGGGGTATGTTACAATTTGGCTGATACACATTTTATCTGATCAAAAAAAAAAAGTCATTTTCAGTGAGAATATAAATACGTATTCTAAAGAGTGAATTGTTTAAAAAATAGTGTTCTATAGGAAAATTCTGCAGATACCACCACTGAGAAGACAACTACTCAGCTAGGACATTCAAGTCGTACCATATTGAATGTCATTCTATCCTCATGGCCTGATACCGCAAATTAAGAGCTTGAGGCAAAAGCACAGGGTTCTATGGGATATCAATCACTGTGATTAATTTCTGAAATAAAACTTTCAAATATACTCAAATTCTTATGATTTCAGTGACAAGACCATAAAAATCTTTACCACTGTGAGATGTGTTATACTGAAGCAAAGTACTTTAAAAAGTTATCAAACATAATACATAATCTTCTCTTACAAAAAAATTAAGAAAATTGTTAAACCAACATTTTCCAAATAAATACACACATTGGTCCCATTACTTAAAAAGGGATCATTAACAAATTTTACTATAAGGTTTACTCTTGATAGCTGTTTTAAATTGGGGGATAGGTCTAAGACTATACACAATCAGAATATACAATGTTAAAATAGACACTCAATGCTGCAGAATACACACTGCATGGTTTATAAATGCATAAGGATATATTCTACCATGTCTTATTTAGTAAGGGTGCATGACACTCTGCAGATCTGCTCCTGTAAAGTAGAGTTCCTCCCCCAACACTCATCAGGTATTTTTCCAGATGCTTTTCCCACCGGCTTAGTAGATGAAGGTAGGAGCTGTGGGGTGTGGCAGGTTCCAGAACCCAGGGGATCCATCTTCATACACAGAGAAGGTACGTGAGCTAGACTGAGGAATCCAACACCCCAGCTTTACAAAGGATCCTGTTTCTCCACTTTTTAGTCAGCACAAAACCAACGTCAAATATCTGCCCCAAATTTGGATTATAATATGAGCTCAGCCAAAAGGTAAAACATCAAGGGCTAGACAACCTGTTATTTACATTTCATCTTAAACTAAATAACCATATAACTCCTGCTATAACTCTACCTTTTCCTATTTTTCAGTGCATTAGTTTAAACACCATTTTAAGCAACAATTATTTTGTTTTTCAGAAAAACTACTTTCACTCCTTGAAAAAATAAACTGAAATCCCCACAGTTCTCAGTCTCAGTCCCAATCTCTCCAAAACTCTTATCAGAATGTCCTAGGTAAGTTATAGAGAAAAGAATTTGGGGCAAATAATTGATAATCAAACTACAAATTGAAAGACTATAGAAAACTATATTCTCCTTTAGATTGTCCCAAAATTAATTTCACTTTCACAGTAAAAACAATAGGCTCGGTGCAGACTTGCAAAAAGCTGCTACGCTAAAACATGCTATACTTCCTTTTATATCAACTCTAATAATAAAACAAGTCTGTATTTGCTAAGTAAGTTACAGCTTCCGAAATCCTTCATGGAGGAACTTTTCACTATATAAATACTATGTTCTGTATTCTTCATTGTATTTCCTAATACTTGAGTTTTCCACCTGTAATTCCAGAATTTTTCAGAATCATGTACTTTTTTTAAAAATCATACTGCATTTGTAGAAAATGCTTCTTGGCAAGATGAAAGTCAAAACATTCTTGTATTGCTGGTATACATCAGGATATGATTTGACACAGTCAGAATTTTTAAGTTCCCAAAGATGTGAGATGGGAAATCGTATGAAAAGAACCAGATACAAAAGATACAATGACTTAGACTATAATATATACTACTCCACTGATTACTAGCTAACTTAAAAGAAAATATTAAATATTTAAGTTAAAATGGGAAAAGAGTGATAGTCAACTTAAACAGAAGAAAAAAAATTGTTCTTGACTTTATGAAACCCTGGGTTTTTCAAGCTTTTGCATGTAAAGTAAGTACTCCAAAACTAATTCAATATAAATCCATAACTCTAATCTTGTCTTTGACATGCTGATCATTTTCTTGTATGACTTTAAAGATTTATTTTAAATCTTTAAAATAAAGATTTAAGTGGGGTGTCGGCCAAAGAAGTGTGAGAGGATTCACCAGAGACAGAGTGGGGAGAAGAAGAGGCAAAATGACTGAAGTACACTGGTTAGGGGAGCAGCGGGTGAGACAGGAGAGGTCTGCTGTCCCGTGTGAGTCAGCTCCCTGGGCAGGATCGAACTTGGTGCTGCAGTGGCTGCTGACAGCTTCACAATACTCATACTTGCATCACCAGAGAGGCCCCTGACTTTTTTCTTTTAACTTATATTTCTTTTTACAAAAACTATTAATTCATGCTCAAAGAATACCTATAGATACTATTAATAACTGCACATGAAAGGTTAAGGATGCATCAGGCAGTGTGTTAAGTATTTGACAAACTCCATCTCAGATAAGCATCACAGCAACCTTGGAGGTGAGTGTAGAGAGTCTTTGTTACCTGAAATCTCCCTTTACAAGTCTCTGCAGTTACAAGGTCACACTCTGAAACAAAAGTTAATTAAATGAACTTATAAAATTACAACTCCTTCCCCCACTGATCCTCCACCACCTTCTCCTGTCTATTCTCCAGTCGTTTCATCTTATACACCAACAAATTTTTCTTCTTGTTGTTTTGGTCTTGGTATGATTACCAGATGTTGTAAATAAAATACAAGTCCATTAAAATTGGCAATGTCCTTTAAAGCAGGTGATACAACTAAATAAAAATGAGATAAGTGTTTTTTGAAGGACTGGTGAATGGCTCACATCATATATGAAATTACTGATCATTGAGATTGGAACAGATAACTATTAGCAATTAAAAAAGAAAAAAATCACAATGAGATAATGGCTGAAAACCTAATATTAAAAGAAACCTTCAATATTAAAAGAAACTTCTCCTCCCTACCTTGTGAAAATAAATGGAGAGGTTCTTGGGTATTTCTAAAAAATGTTACTTTGAAAATCAAATGTGGTAGTGAGATTATCTTGCTTAACTAACTCAGGAAAAGTCACAACGCCCTGACAATTGACTTCACCCTAGCAGAATCGAAAATTAAACTTGTATTAGATCACACAGAACAGGACAGAACTGGTATTCAAGCAGCTGCTGCAAGTTGGTATTCAAGAGCTTGCACTCCTAGTCAGAAAGCTCTGCTGTCTTTAGCTAAGGAAGTAAGGTACACCTTTTACAGAAATTTTGTTTCATTTTTTAAAAAAAATTCAGAGAATCCCAGATAAATGTTTTTCCCCCACCTTTTCCTATGAAATCTTATTCCCCATTTTAAGGAACTTTGCTTTAGGGAGCTTTCCTCGATACCTGCTTACTCCCAACAAGAGGACCTCAACACCCTACTTCAGATACAAGGAAGAAATGCTCAAAGTTGTACCTTCAAGCTGGTGTGAATTCAGCCTGTCTGACCCCAGGGTCCACACTCTCCTTAGACTCAGCACAAAATCTCTGTGTTACATAAATAGGGCTTGAAGA